TTCTGGAGAAGCTCAAATTAAAAAAAACTGCTTGAAACAGGTGTGCGCGGGAAAAAATGGGAAATCAAATCCATCAAAAATCTTATGATTTTATATCGGTTCATTGATTAGCCGAAAGTAAAGGGGAAACTTTCGGAAGGTTTTGTAAGGGTGAGCCAAGGGCTTAATTTTCCTTTATAACTTAAAATTCGATTTAAAATAACTCGAAAAGACAATCGGTATTTAAGTTGTATCAAAACTGCATCCCCACCTTGAAAAGTTCAGTTTTCCCATTTTCGCTAATTTTGATGATGTTACCCCTTATCGAAAATGCGAAAGTGGCTTACTCCCATTTTCCTCCTCAAGACGAAAGTATTTAGCTCATAACTTGGCCAATAATGGTCCAAATACGGACTGCAATTCCTCGTTGAGTTTGTTTTCGAATTTCCAACAAAACTGTATACCCACCTTGAAAGGTAAAATTTTTGCTATTTTTCATAATTTTTGATGATGTCACCCCTTATCGAAAGTGTGATATATGGGTAGAACCCATTTCCCCCAAACTAAGGTAGTATCCTCCTCATAACTAAGGCAATAATGGTCCGAATATAGCATGTAATACCTCGTTGAGCTCGTAATTTAATTTCCAACAAAACTGTGTCCCCACCTTGAAACGTAAAAATATTTCCATTTTTTGCAAATTTTTATGATGTTACCCCTTACAGAAAATGCAAAAAATTGTTAAAAATTAAAACTCCCAAAATCATCAAACCAATGATGAGGAAAGTTTGTAATGGTCGAAAGCTGCTCAGAACAGTCTTTGATTTAGCTCTGAGCCTTGTTTTGGCTAAGTTATAGGCATAAAACCCATAAAAATATTACCTTTCTCTGTCAAAACTCATAATCCTGATTGTTGCCCCCAAAAACTCAGAATTATTCTCATAACTCAGCCAATAATGGTCCGAATATAGAATGTAATACCTCGTTGTGCTCGTAATTGAATTTCCAATAAAACTGTGTCCCCACCTTGAAACGTAAAATTTTTTCCTTTTTTCGCAAATTTTGATGATGTTACCCCTTACAGAAAATGCCAAAAATGGTTAAAAATTAAAATTCCCAAAATCCTCAAACCAATGATAAGGAAAGTTTGTATTGTTCGAAAGCTGCCCAAAACAGTCTTTACATTAGCTCTGAGCCTTGTTTTGGCTAAGTTATAGGCATAAAACCGATCAGAAATAGTTCGTCTAGAACACTTTTTGTTTCTATTTAGCTTTTAAATAAGGAAAACTCAAATTCAAAAATCAATAATCTACCATTCATTCCCAATCCTTATTTCATAATCCGGAACCTTACATTTTCTTTGTCAGCCCTCTTGTGATCTGAAGTGAAGCGTTTAAAATGGTTTTATGGTCCAGGCGACCTATTCCCGGCCGATCTACGCTGAAGATATCAACATCCGCACATCCCTCTGACTTTGTTCGGTGAACACTTGCCAGAGTTCCTGAACTACTGAGCACGACGGTGGCAAGGGAAAACAGAAGAAGAACGAGGAGGAGGCGGAGGCGGAGGAGACTACCTGGTCATTGTTACTGCGATTCTCTACCTGTGTCAATGTCAGACTTCAGCGCTAAATTGTCGCTTATTAAATGTCTCTCGTCCCGCCGACGAGCCACTTTATCAAAACTCCAGAGGGCGGAGATATATGAGATAAAGGCAGAAAGGAGGAAAGGAGGAGGTAGCCGAATTCCACGTAACCGTTGTGTCGTCTGCGGCCCATTGTCGAAAATTATGACTTGTTTTGGGATTGGAGTGCAAATAGCCCACTTCCTGTCTGTCTCCGTCAGCCGTCTTGGTCTCTCCTCTCAGTCCGTCTCCCTCTGTCTGCCGGTGATTAGTGTCGCCGCTCCAAAGTTGCCGTTGTCATCGTCACGGACCGCCGATGTCCCCGCTGATAAGGAGTGCTCCGTGTCGGGGGAACATTTACTTATGCACCACTACTGTCTTTGTCTCTGTTTCAAACTACTGCGGTTAGTTCTGGATTGCTGGTGACATTGCTCTGGATGCAGTCGTACAAGTTACTTTCCTAGTCTGCTGCTTCTGGAGCCACTAGGTAATCATATTCGGACAGTAAATATTTCCCTTCAGATTAATATATTTTCGATAATTCATATGCAACCAGTATTTTTATAGAGCCACATTCCCCAATCTGGCTAACATTATTGATGTGCTTAATTCCAGAGATTTTTTATTGCCTTTACTCGATAAGCTGGAGATCTACGTGCCTGAGATTCGCTTTCCCTCCTCCATTAAACCCAGAATTTTGGAACCTATAGGAGGCGTGGAATCATTCAGAAGAACATATGTGATCACATTACGTTGGCGGCTTGTAATGCGCTTCCGTTTTCTACTCCACAATTATTCATGTTCAGCTGGCTGAGTAGTACCCATTCTTCGTTGCCATCATTTGTCTTTTTTGGAAGCTAATTTACCCAATGATGCAAAGGCGCCGCTTGAGAAGAGAGCCAAGTTAGGCCAAGATGACTCCCAAATCCGAATCTGAATCGGAATCCGGGCCAATCAGCCTGCAATTACACTTCCGCTGTGGAGAGGGAAGATCACAAAAAAAAAAGGCGAGGAGAAACATAACCCCTCCTCCTCCGAACGAAACGAAAACCCTCCATTCATGAAGTCTCTCCGTGTCTCAGGCTCATTCACAAGATTCAAAGTCGAGACGAGAGTTCGAGCATTCATTCATTCGCGTTGATTGCCACCTTTTCCCGATCTTTTTTTTCTCCTGCCCCACGGCAGCCTCTTGTGCTCCAATGATTAGTCTGTGCTAATGAACAGGCGGCGGCTACCTAGCGAAAAAAAATAAAAAAAAAAAGAAACACATTCATGATGGAAAGGCCAAGAAAAGGCCCCCAAAAAGACACAAAACACCGAAAAAAGAGCGAGAAAAAAGCGAGACAAAGCTGCACGAAAGCGGCAAACAAACAGAAATCAAATCCAATTTATGTTTTCAACATTAATCATAATTTCTTGGGGCCCATTTCGGCGTGGCGTGAAATAATTTTTATGCGCCGTTTTTACGGAACCAAAAACCAAAATCCAAAATCCGTTTCGGAATCGAAATCGAACAAATCCCAAAGGGGAAAAGGTGTCAATGTCTAATTTTGATGGCGAATGCACTCGCAGCATTCTGCTTTCCTCATTATGACTGTGAGATATGGTAGAATGTGGGCTGAATGGGAACTAGATCAGTGGATCAGTGGTAATGGAGTGCGAGAATTGATCGCAATCGTTTTGGCCATGAAATTTGAGAGCAAAACTATGGTTTACATAGAAAAATTCATACGCAAAGTAAAATTTCTTCAATATCAGAATGTAAGTTAGCTTTCTCTAGGTTACAACCAAGTTCTTAGGGGCCTAATGTCTGTAACGTCTAAACCTTTTACTGATCAACCAAAAACATCTCGTTTTATGTTAAAACCAATTTAAATACATGCCTTAAAGATCTGTCTTCTCCCGGTGAAAAGGACCTGTTCTGGCCAAGATTTCGATCGGTAGCTCAGTCAGTTAGCCAGATTCGTCAGTTAGCAAAGACCCCACACTGAATAGACCTACGATTCGGGGGCGGGGGTCCTGATGCAGAGCCACTTGAAAAGCAATTTTTTGAAATTTATTTTCCATTTATCGCTTTATTTATTTTCAACCTTCTTTCAGTGTGTTCCTGTCTTTCTACTCCCCTCATCCTCAATGCACCATGCACCAGGTCTATCTGCTTATGCGATTAGAGTTGCAGCAAAGGAGCCCAGGAAGATGACGATGTGGATGGTATAAGATTGGGTTGGGATCGGGCATTGGGAATGGGAACGATGACGGTGATGATGATGATGATGCTGTTCGGCATGTTTATTTTTGTTTGGACCCAGAGACCTTTTTGTTTGTCTGCATTTCGTTGAGGAAGAAGACGGAGCGGAGGAACTGTGTCTCAATGGGCCACAATCGAAAGTAATAATGAAATCCCATCAACAACGAGACAAAGGCTCTCTGACCATTCTCATTCTCATTCTCATGCCCATCCCACTTCCATTCCCATTCCCATTCCCTTCCCTTTTTGGCCTGCAGAATGAAACGACGACACTTGCCTTGATTTTTATTGTTGGGCTTTTCCCCCGGCCATTGATTTATTGTTAGCGGGAACGGACAGGAAAATGGGAATGCTCTCCGGTTTGGGTTTTGGTCTTGGTATGGGTTTTGGTTTTGGCCATGAGCCTAGTTCTCTGGATATATCTCTCATTCTCTTAGATGATCTTGTTCTGCGACCAGCTGCCTGTTGCATTCCGCTCTCTCACCTCTTGCCAATGGCAACAAAAATGTGCGTGCTCAAACTACAGAGGAACCTGGCTACGACTGAATGCGCAAGGCGTCTACTAACAGTTTTGATTGTAATTGGGTTTTAGTGCATATCCGATTGTATACTAAAATATGCAGCTATAAAAATTCCCTAATTCTTCTCTTGGGCTAAGTGCTTCCCACTTAAAGAGGCCGCACTGTAGTTTTGCAAGTTCTTCCACTTCCTCATCCTCTCCCTAACTGGGGGTTCTATTCTGGTGCTTAGCACATAGACAGTTCATTAATGTTATCAACAAGCAAAAAAAGGGGGAATGAAGGATGGTCTCATAGCCCCTCGTCGGATGACAGGTTTGGTTCTCCACTTTTATGGTTTGTGTACGCACTGAATCTGATGTGCGACTCTTGTTGTTATTTTTGTTGGGGGCTCGTTGACACATAAAAGTAACGGCCACTGGCTACTGGCCACTACTTGGCCAATGGCCATCGCCTGGTGGCCAAAAAAGGACATAGCCACTTGTCAACTGGAATCCATCGATATGGCAGTGGTTAGTCGTGGGACGAGGGATGGGGGATGGGGGCTTCTCTGATTTACCGACATTTACGGACTGTACTGACCAGATGAACTACTTTCCAGCTACTGGCAAATTTACCGTTAAAAAACTCACCTGTTGGCTGTAAATTCGAAGGGCAGTTAAATCCTCTACACGCGATGCTCTCTGCTTCTCGTCAATCTCCTTTCCTTGTCGCACGCTAAACGAACGGTAAATATGTTGATTAGATTTTGATCACTTGACGCGGCATTCTTGCTTGCGATTTTCCCAACAAACAACAAACAACAAACAAAAAACAAGCAGTTAAAGAACAATAAGAGCCGAGAGGAAAGGCAACCCAAATAAAATAAACCTATTAAAATTTTATGGCGTTTTCAAAGCCTTTCCAATACAAAACACAAGAACACGGCAATTGGCATCGGGTTAAATTGAATTTTGTGGCTCTTAGTCACATCCGCTGAATGGACGACATTCGATATATCTGGCGATCTGAGAATCTGGGGATCACTACAGCGGCCTTTCCCCGCTTTTTTTTATTGTTTTTTTTTTGACAAACGTTCGGAAATTATTGATGTTCCGCCGAGACCATAATTTATAGTTATTAGGTGTTTTCTACGCGACGCCGCTACCGCTGCCGTTTTAGATTCTTGCCGTTTTAAAAATAAAAACAAACTTGGCACACGCACTTTTCTCGCTCTCCCTCGCTGGGAACTCTCTCGCAAACTCTCTCGGGACTCTTGCACTTCCTAGTTGGTGTGACCAACTTAGGGCGACTCCACACTGATATTTTTAACAGCCAAAAAAAAGGGTAAATAAATAAATAAAGCTGATTAGCACGACGCGGGCGCCAAGGGCTACACTATATCTCTGCTTTACTCGCTCGACGGCGCAGCACACTCTCTTTCTCCGCACACACGTCTTTCTTGGTCGGCGGCGCGAAGCGAAGTGAACATGGGCCCCTCAGCTGAGCACGAGACGATGCAGAGACCATCGCGCCGGCAGAGAGGAAGTGAACCGGAGAGCGCAAGCGGAGAGAGAGAAGAGTGAAGAGATAGCCAGAGGCTGCGCGAGGGGCTCTTTTGAGAGTGGGTCCTTGGTAGGTGGCGGGATCCAGGCGGATGCTTTTTACCACCCACCAACGAAGCACGTGCCAAATTGTTGCTAATTTGGGTGTTTTTGCCAATCACTTGTTGGGATCGTTGGTATTATTATTCTACCATTTGGCCCGTAAAAACCCAAATAAATGTGATTTTAAAATATAAATACCTTTAATTTCCGGCCCACTCCGCCCACAATTAAACACCTTTCGAACTGATGTTGATTTCATTTTAATATATCTTCTGCTTTTGCTTTGCTTTTATCCACTCAACGGCTTTCGTTCGTTCACAATAGTTGCATTCGTAGTATGTACTTCATTTAGCATAATATGGTATCAATTGATATTTAATTAATAACTTGTGTATGTATGTGTATGTGTATGTGTATGTGTGGGGCCAATTTCCAATTTCCAACATTTTACACTGGGTTCACAAAAAAAACGATTCGTAGTCATAGTTATAAGCTAGAGACTAAAATTATAATTAAAATGCCGTCACTATTGTGGTTGTTTGTGGTTGCAGTTGGCTAGTATGCGTTGTTGTTGCTCGAGTTAGTTAGTTAGTTAGTCCTTAGGGTTCTAGGCTTTATCTGTATTATCTGGTATTATCTGCAGTACTTGCATTATTGTTTCTGTTTCGTTTCACTTCTCGCATGGCGTTTATGTTAAATAAATGTTTGTGATATTCTTGCTTTTTTCTTGCTACAATCTTTAACCTAGACTTAAGGATCGAAGAAGCAATTGTAGTAGAAGTGATCGTTTCTTGATTTTTTGTTTTTTTTTTGTTTCTCATATTATCTTTCGACATATAATAATATTCAATTTTTTTTGTGGTTTTGCTTGAGGCTTGCTTATTAATATGTTGTATATATAAAAATTGTTTTTCTTTTTGTTTATTTTGTTAATGTTTAATTAAAAAGCTAATTTCGGTTGCTGGTTGTGTCCTCAGACGACTGGCGGTTCGGTTCCTCCCAGGGGCTCGTCGTTACTAATAAAAAAAAAAAGGAAAAGAAAAGAAAAGAAAAGAAAAAGGTAAGGAAAATAAAAACAAATTAGAAAAATTATAACCAATAAATGATCGAAAGGAAACGGTAATGATAGCCAACTGATAAACAAAATAAGTACAAAACCATTAGGAATTAAATCCCTATACTATAACTTTAATATTATTAACATTTATGTAAAAGTCGGTTAAAAGCCTTGCTAAACTGCAGTTTCAGACTTTGCCTCAACGCGAAGAACTTTGATTCTCCAAACATTCGATATCAATACATACTGACACATATATGTATATATATATATATTTTGTTTATCTGACTTTAAACACGTGTATATACTATATAAACGAGAGTTCAGAACTGTTTATCTTAATCGGAACATCTACGCAATAATCTTGGTTAATATTCAGCTATATGAAATAATATTACAATTAGGAGCCAGTGGGCCTTTCGAGATAAGTTGAGATCAGGTAAAATTAAACGCTAATTACAATTGATTTCTTTTGCATATTTAACTGAAACGCACTGCGTTTTCGAAGTTACATAATAAGAATAATTTTTAGGTATAGCTTTGGTCACAATGCAGGATGCGTTTCGACTACATTGAGCTAGAGCTTCGGTATCGCAGGATAGATTGCACAGACATCTGTTTCGAGGGGATTTCCTATAGTATATATAATATATATTCGACTACCTATCTATGCACGAGTTTTCTACCTATCGATAATTGGTATTCGGATGTGTTCAGATATTCATTTAGTTATAGACTTGAGTGCCCTGAGTTGGGGCATCAAAGAGAGAACAATCCAGCTAGAAGTGGCTAATATTTGACAAGATCTGTAACAGTACAATATATATATATATGTATATTCCGAATATGTTCGATTCTGTGCTAACTAATAGACTAGGAAAAAAAAGTCTTAGTCTAACTATCCTTTAAATGGCTTAATACTATTCGATTATCTATGTTCGTTTTCTGGCTGCGGTTCTAACTATACTTTGTATAATATAATATGATATTCTGCAGTGATATGGCACGGTAATTCCAATGGTAACACTCCCAAATGTATTTGACTATATAAAGGTTTAGTAGGTTAAATGGGTTCGGTCTTGCAGTTATGACACTTGCTGGGTTTTCCATTTTAATATTTACTGTTTAAAGAATATCGTAAAAGATATTTTTCTATCTTGAAATTATCTATCTAAACTTGCTGAAATCTGTAATAATGTTTACCAGCTAATTAGCCAGTCATAAAACCACTTAGCAAGTGTCTTAGCCGCCTTTTATAGGTTAACAAAACTGGAAGAAGATTCCTTTCTGTGTTTGAGTAGGGGTACAGTAGAGCTGCCAACAGTCAACTGCCGGCGATTAACGATTTCCCCATCTGATTCGATATCATTTCTGCGGCGTCCCTGACTAATTGAGCTTAGCTAGGAGCAGGCAAAAGACCCAAAGATATCACCGCCAGGCGGCAACTCAAGAGGACCATCGATAGCCCGAGCGATAGCGACAGTAGGACTTGATGGGCCTTGCTGGTGGGCAAGTCGTTGAACTTGGGACGCGGATAGAAGATATGCACCGGTGGTGGTTGATCCAGCTCGTCAAAGAAACTCAGATCCCTGCCAACCACATGGTTATTACTCATAGCTAGATCATTACCGTTTTCCTGATGAACGAGGCTAGAAGGACTCCAAAGACTAGTCGCAGGCAGGCAGGCAGAGTACCGATAAAATAATCAAAGCTGAAGACTCAGGCATCTGAAGCATACTTACGCGGGACAAACGTTGGCATTCACTCCATTGACGGCAGCTGAACTAAGGTTAATTTGGCCCACGGTTTCGCCCTCGACGACCACTATGCAGCCGTTCAAGTTGTACTTGTAGCGGGCGCCCGTGAATGCCGCGATATCAGGAACGCCACCTAGAAAAGAAAATGATTGATTTAATAATAATATTCATATAACTATTATAGATCACTCTTGTTTTCCCAATTACTCACCGACAAACACATTGCCCGGCAGCTTAATCGACTTTTTGCTGGTGGGTCTCGTTTCACCCGAGTGCAGCATGCGATCGACCTCCAGCATGGCGGTGTTTTCGTCCCGCTTAGCGATTACAATGTGACGCTCCCCATTGTCTACGCTGATGTCGCTGTTTCGGATCACAGCCTCCTCGCCATCGAGTCTCATGGAGAACTCAACATAGCCATCCACTACAGCGGCAGCGATGAAGTCCTGTCCGGTGTACTCCTCTCCGGCCTCTTGGCCCCACCAGAACAGAAGTCCGTTTGGCTTGTTGGTGGTGAAGACTATGCCGATAGAGGTGTAGGATTGCTCTAAGGCGGATTGGAAATGGCTGCGATTAAGCTCTACGTATCCATCGCCGCGGAATGAGGCATTAAAGCCCAGTTGGAGGTCTGTAATAAGATCAGGGTAAGGATTATTAAATGGCTTTTCCATTAATCATTGTTTTAACTTACGCTCCTGGCAGAACTTTCCACTGAAACCGAATGGACAGGAGCATATGGCGATGTCCTCCTGTTCACTGCAGCTTCCTCCGTTTTCACAAGGATCGCTGGCACAAGGAGCCATCGCGTATGGCTCATTCTCGTGGACTTCTGGAGACGGAGGGGGAACTGGTGGCTCGTTGTCGCCATCCTCATCGCCACCTACTTCATTTGTCTCCCCACAACTTTGGATGTTGGCCGCATCCTTGATGTCAGCTAAGAGATCAATGGCCTTTTGGAAATTGTACAGCCTGGAGATGCAGCCATCGAAGCCCTTGGTTATGTTCACATCCCTGTTGACCTTGACCGTCGACCGATCGTAGCCACCCACAAAGAGGGGCGTTTTGAGGGACAAAATGCGATCTGATCCCGGTGCCTTGGCCTTTCGCTCTGGTCCATCGCCCACACGCAAGATTCCCTCGCCCAGGCGACGTCTTATCTCGATTCTGGTCCAGCGATTCAGGGGCAGCGGTTCCGCAGATCGCACCACCACTGGATCCAAACGAGCGGCCGTATTGATCAGCAGCTCTGCGTGGCCACCACGAAGTACCAGCGCCAAATAATCGCCGCTGGGCAAGGTAGATTCTGCCGTATACAGTATCACGGAGTCCTCCAAACTAGATGGACGCACAGAGAGTGTGATGTTGACTTTGGTGACTTTAGGAGTTCTACGAAACACAAATTGACAAGTTATTAGTTTAGCTGGAGTTCTTTTTAATGGGATAACTCTAACTCACCCGTAAGCTGCGAAGCTGTTGCCCTTAAAGTTAAGGCTTTGTTCATTCAAAATCTCATTATACTGGCATCGGTCTCCGGATCGGTTCAGTGGGCACAGACACTCCATATCGTTTTCTGTATTTTCGCAGCGTCCGGCGCCGCAGACTCCTGGCGTACACTGGGTACCCTCAATGGCACAATCTCTTCCAGTCCACCCCGGCTGGCAAACGCAGGTGTAGGCCTGCTCCGTCTGACTCTCCAAGCACACGCCCTTGTTTTGACACGGACCTTGGGCACAGGGACGGCAATCGTTGATGCCCTCCTTGAACTTGGACTCCCGCATCAGATCCACGGTGCGTCCCTGCAAGGTTAAACGGCTGATGCAACCCACAAAGCCCAGCTGCTGACTAACTGCCTCGGCGGGAAGCAGTTCCCAGTTGGGCACTCCGCCAATGTACAGATCTTCGATCAGGTCCAGTTGAGGTATCTGCCAAAGGCATTTATCAGAATGCGGTGTCTTAAAGATGTCATTCAAGGACTTACCTGCTGCAGGGTGGGGAATGCCACCGGATGTTGTTCATCCACCTGGATGTATCCATCCCTCTTGAAGCGACTCACACGGACCGTGTGCCACTCGTTCAGCGCCAGTGGCTCCTCGGCTCGTACTAGCAATGGCTTGCCACCGAAATCAAAGCGGAACTCCGCATAGCGATCCTTCAGCGATAACGCGATGTAGTCACCGCTTCCGCGGGTTTGTCCATTGAAGAGCAGCAGCCCATCGCCAATTTCCGGTCGGAAGGTCAGTTCGAAGTTGAACTTAAACGAGGAGTTCGGTAGAGTGGGGAAGCTCATGTAGCTGCGGGGTTCCTGCCGGAACTGGGGAATGGCCCCCGTCACAACCAGAATGTTGGGGAAGTCCACCGTCTCACCATCTCTGTATTGGGCCGTGCAAATATAGGTTCCGGCGTCGTTTGCCTGCACGCTTTCCAGCGAAAGCTTTTCCTGGAATTGCAAAATGGGTTTATATTCTATCAGTACTCATCTGTGCAACTAATTTTAAGACTTACATTGAGTAGACTGCGTCCCGCTTGAAGTTGTCCATATTGGCGAGACCAACGGTAGGTGGGCTGTCGGCTTTCGTCGGCTCCACATTGCAGGTCGGCATTTGCGCCCACCTTGGCATAGACTATCTTGGAGCTCTTCAGTTCGTGAGGCTGATCCTCGACCTCAAGTTTGTAGCTGGTGGTGTACAGATCTCCCTCGTCCGTCTTGCACTTGCACACATAGTTACCGGCATCGGTTGAGGCCGCGTTAGTGATCACCAGGCGGTTGCCCACTTGCTGCAGGTGGTCAATTAAGTATTATAGATGGAAAAATAAGAAGGACGAAGATATCTTATACAATATTTTGAAAGCAGTACTCACCCGAATGTTATCGCTGAGTGGAGCTCCATCGGCACGTTCCCAGACGACATCGGTGTAGGTGTCGTCGGAGGAATAGCACTCGACACTGGTGCCCTCACCAGCTTGCAAGCTTGAGGATTGTTCATCCAGTTTCAGGCTGTAGTCGGCCCTTCGTCCTGGTAATTGTGGCGTCAGGTAGATGTTGGGGGGCGGGGTCGCCGCTGATTCCGCCCAATCACAATCACAACACACATTGAAAGGGGGGCGACAGGTCGACAAGGACGACAAGGATGGGCGGAACGTTCACAATTCAGCGACAATTCACAAGTGCATGGGTGCATGTGTGTTTGTGTGTGTGTGTGTATATGTGTAGATGTTTGGGTGGTGTATTTGTATTTGTGTTTGTGTGTATTTGTGTGGTGAGCCATGGAAATGGGAATAAGATAGTAAAAATACACAGAGAGATAAAAAACAGTTAGCAAAATTACAGATCAAAATAGGCGTTTCAAACAGAAAGGCGATAATTATCGAACGATAAGTTGAAATTCGTTATCGATGGAAGTCAGTCTTCATCGAAAGAAGAAACATTAGGAATAATATCAAAGATATCGTTCGATTCATATGGCACTATAGTTTTGTTTTAGTTTCAATTTGGAATTTGGTTTCCTAGTTAGACAATACATAGATATACGATACACATATATAGAGAGGCGACAGAGAGGGGACTTTGTGGATTGTGGTGAGGTGGACTACTTTTTATGGAGCTACTTTTACTCAATACTGCTACGAATCGAATCACACAAAATACGAATACATGTGGGGTTACGAATGGGTCGTTTATATTGGTTTTAATCTGGTTTTCATTTTTTTTTTTTTGGTTTCTCATCTCGAGAGCTGGACTCTACGATTATAATTTCGACTTGGGTTACCACTAAATTATCAGATGTTTCATTTCGATTTGAGTTACATAGATACATATAAGGATATATATATATACAGTTAACGATACATTTTACAAAAATTTCGATTACTTAACTATATAGTTTTTATCATGTGACTTGGAGTGTGCGCGCGTATGTGTATGTGTGTGTGGCTGAGTGTTTTGTGTTATTTACACAAATTTCGTAACTCTAAATTGGGTTATCTAGTAAGTTAGTAACGACGTGGCCTGTCGCATGCAAGTCGACATACATATAAGGTTAGGACCTGTTAAATTGCCAACCCGCTGAACGCTGTAAAAGTATAGAATGCTTAGCTATCGTTTATCGATATTTGTTACATATCAAGCCCTTAAGGTGCGTGTGCGACGTTGATCCTTTTCTTGCTGCGCAATTGTCTTTGCTTGGTGCTTGGTTGGTCGGTTATCGCTGGTCGGCTATGGATAATCGCCTTGCAATCGTTTCAACTCTACGATTTTGTGCACCCACGATCATTACGGAATTAGATAGTAAGGAGAAGGTGGAGGACAATAGATTGGGATTTGGAAAGGAAAGCAATGGGAACGGGGAACTACAAGGAGGACTTTCACTATGGGGGACTCGTAAGTACAGTTGAGTATTAGATAGCGATACCAGGGCTGAGAGTGAGAGTGGGAGTGGGAGCTTTTGCGGTGAAGGGTGAAGAGAAAACTTTAGGACCAACCGAAGCTGCGCTTCATCAGCTTCCTTGGATCCTTGGCGGCCTTCATCAGGGTCTGTCTTCCATGCTTTCGGCTCTTCTTCCAGCGCTTAAAGCTCCCCGATCCTCCCGAATTCGATCCGGATTTTCCGTTTCCCTTGTTGGCGGCAATACAGTTGAATTCGTCTGAGTGATCCGTACAGTCGTAGATCCCATCGCACACCATGTTCGCCCGGATACAAGTGTGCGGATGCGAAACGCACTTGAAGTCGTTGGGTTGGCAGGTGTAGGAAATTGCTGGTGGCCGAACCGTTGCTGCTGGTCCGGAGTTCAGGTTCTTCGAGGGTGAAAGTTTGCTGGTCTTGAAGTCTGCGGCGTTTTTTTTTTTATTTGCGAATTTTGTGTGTTTCGTTATATTAAGTATTATCGGTATTTTGGTTTTGGAATTTTCGTTTGTTGAAAAGGCACAAAGTAAAAAATTAGCAAAAATTTACAGTCTCCGCAGCACTGAAGCCCTTGGTTAGTACTAGTCCCTAAACCCTGAACGTACAACTAAGGTATCCTGCCCTTGGGACTGTGGTTATTGGGTCTCCACGCATGCTGGTGTGAGGTTACGGTGGTGCTCTACTAGACTACTCTCTAATACAAAATTGGGGCTCTATTTTGGGTCTAACTTTGTGCATTAGTGGGCGTGGCAGGTTGGGGGAGTTTCATTAAAGCAACGTTTTTACATGTTTTTTTTCTTTCTTTTTTTTTTTTTTTTGGTATTCATTACGTTTTTCTTTTCTTTTTTTTTTATAAAACTTATTTTACTCTAGGGTTAGGCAGTACATAATACAGATTTCAAGATCATAAGATTAATAATACAAAACAAATGCAAATAAACGAAAAAAAAGGTTAAACAAAATCAAAAATAATGAAAAAAAATACAAGTAATATTGATATCATATAATGGAGGATCGCTGCTATTAGATTTGGTTAGGCGGCGGTGGCTTAAACACACCTGCACAAATATACAGAACCATGCAGGGCGTGTCTTTCAGGGAGACGCCGCCCTTGTACCGATTGTAAGGATACTGGGTGGCAGTGATTCCTGGGTCGTTGTAGTTGCGTCGTTCGTTTGCAGTTGCAGTTGCAGTTGCATGCCATATCATTAAATTTGTTTGTGTTTTATATATATATATGTGTGTGTGTTTGACATAAGATCAGCAAAAGCGCACACATTGTACCGATTTGATATAAATGTATAGCATATAGTTTAAGTCAAGTCAAATCAAAGGGTAATTTAAAAATATTTCAACAAGCGCACATGTAAGAAAGTGGGAGAGAGAGAGAAAAGCGTGAGAGAGAAAGAAATAAATATGAAATTAATTAATGTGTTCCATTTGCATTTAAAAAGAAGTAGGTGGAACTATAAGACCTACGGCTTCAGCTTTTTAGCTTCTGATTTTTCTCTATCTGACTGTTTGACTGATTTTATCTGATTCAAGACCAAAGTTAAGTTTATTGTTTTTTGTTTTTATTTACAATCGAATTTGTGCTCTTTCCTTTCGTATTAAGTGCTTTCAGTGTGCTTTCAGGGTGCAAGTTGCAGTGATGATGCAGCAACTCCGGCATTACATTTTGTGCAGTGCTTAAGTCTTAGGTAATTAACTTGTTATTGACTTAAACCTACTAATGTACACGAAAAAAAACACAAACAAACAGTTGACAACCAAAACCCACTTCTAAGTTAAATCTAACAAGTCTTCAAATTGCACTGAAGGAAACAATCACCAGGGGTAAGTAGGGCAATGAGGAGAAAGGAGAGCCGACACCAGGATGGGGTTTCAATAATGTTAATAAAAACGCAACAGATTATGGCCAGAATCGGTTAACCGAAGCTCTGTTAGCCCTTGCAGATGTGAATGCCATAACGTTTTCAAACTGGAAAATTACTTTGAAATTGTTTTAGAAAGAAAGTTATCTTCTTTTCTTGGCACTTCGTATCTATAAGGGCTTGGGGTGTAAATAAAAAGAATATGTTACAATTTGCTTTACACATTTTGTTGTGCAAGTTTTTAATGTTAATATTATGTTTTATTTCTCACTTTTCGTGGGGTTCGCTTAGGTGTATCGTATTAGAAATGTTTTGGCAGCCATTTATGCTTAAGATTTATCAAGTTGTAAGAATGTTCGTATATATATATATATATATATATATACATATATTAAAATGTGCGTGTGTGGTGTATAATTTCGCTTTTTCAGAGCTTAGATTTCTAGTTTCAATTCGGTAAACAAAAAAAAATGCTTAATAATTTTGGCAAATTCTCGAATTCGAACTTGTTGTTTTGCATGCAATGGACTTGTACTTTAAATTGATTGATTGATTGATTGATTACATGATTGGCAGTTGTCGCTTTTCGTGTGGGACTCCACCACCACCAAAGTTTTTGCAATGATTTCGATAACTTTGTTTGATCTTTTGTTATATACAGAGTGTGTTCGTAGGACCCTGGTACCGCTGCCTATGGTGCTACACATACATATATACATAGAGATATTGCTTGCTTTTAGGTGTTGTTGTTTTTGTTGTTGTTTTTGTTGTGGACTGACAATTTCCGTTGCATATTTACAAGGTGTTTTCTGCTTTCGATTTCGTAGATTTTGATTTTTTCTTTTCGGGGGAGGTTTATCAAGTTTTAAAGTTTTACAGTTTAGGTTAACAGATACGAGTACATTGATGTGTTTATATATAGGCGTATTCATATAGATACATATACATATGCATATACATACATATAGATATTTATATTGAGTGGGGAATTAGTAAAATCAGCGAACGATCAAACCTGCTTAACAAAGCCTAATCCTTGAAAAATCTTCCTTCTCTTATAAATTTAAGCATTAATTATCGTTTCTTTTTTGGGTATTTCTTAATTATTTTGTTTGATTTTCGGGCTGGCCTATAAAAGTTTTTTGTATAAATTTCCTTTCTTTTTTTTTTTGTTGGTTTTTTCATTTTTGGTGGGGGTACTTTTATGTGTTTTTCTTTTTTCGGGGGGAGAGATGGGAGAAAGGTCGATTGTCGGAAAGGACATCTTCTGACTGCAGACCCGACGGCGGATCCGACGCCAGCTCTGAGCCGGTGTCGGAGATCCCGTGGCCTCAAAAACCTAACGCGTTGCGATTACTTACGTCGTACTTGCAAGTCGATGTAGACGGCTGGCAGTTGCTGCCTTCTGTCCAAATCGTACGAGTTGCAGATATAGCGTCCCGCATCCTCGGGTCGCAAATGGTTCAGCACCAGCACCTGGCTCTCCGGATGGGCATTGTGCGGCAATGCGCTGCCATCATCACGGAACCATTGGAACTGTAATCAATATCACAAACCGAACATCAATTGGGGTCTTTCCCATGTTACAGCTGGCATTCTTATTGCTATGTAAACTTTTACAAATTCATAATTTCTTACGTAGAAGAACGCTCACCTGGACGTTGCCGTGATTTTCCTGGCCGTACTGGGTCAAACTGCATTGCAACATGATGCTTTCGCCCTCTACCTTATTTTGCACCTGCGACTGCGGAACTGTCGTGTAGCCACCGGGCTTCTTTACTACAACTCTAGCGGTCTCCGATCGATTTCCATATTGGTTCGAGGCAGAGCAGCGGTATTCACCGGCCGCTGCCGGAGTGATGGACTCGAAGCGTAGGACATTGCCGTCGATGTGAACCGAACTGGAGTTGGGGGAAAAAAAGGAATACGGGTAAGAAAAGTGTTCACTAGTCCCTTTTTTCTCTTATGTTTCCCACCTAGGCAAAGGCCGGTTGTTGTCGGTGCTCCAATAAACATCTCCCTGTCGCACGTTTTCCACCAGACACTGCACATTCAAATCCTGGCCCACCTCCACCGTCAGTGGAATGCTGGGATAGAAAGTGATCCTGGGCAGGGGCACGATTACAAGTTCCCTCACCACATAAGACTCCACATTGCCGTCGCGACCGATTCCATTGCAGCGGTACAGACCCAGATTCTGCTGCGTCACATGCACAATATTCAGCTTATTGCCCGAAATGTGGGCGTTGTTAGGCAAGGGCTGGCCATCGACGCGTTCCCACTCGGTGTTCACTCTCGGATAAATGTCGCAGGTCAGGGACACATTTTCACCATAATCGGTCGAGAAGCGTTGGTTGTTGCCCGTCTGTTGGACTGGAGGACGTTGCGTTGGATAGTACGGATTATTCGAATCGGAATCTGCATCCACTGTGAAATATAAAGATTAAGATTAATTATTAGTTACTCAGCATACGGACAGGTTTCACCAGACTCACCTTCTGATATGTCACCACGTTTCTGTTGGACCTCTACGCGAACGTGGCGTACATCGTTACCAGCCTCATTGTTGCCGCTGCACGTGTATATGCCCGCATGCGCTTGGGTCACCTGGTAGATCTTGAGCAGGGCCCTATTGCCCTGGGGCTCCGGTCCCGAGTAAACGCTCCTGTCCCGATTCGGTGGTATCCAATATACAGTGGGATTGGGGAAGCCACTGGCTATGCAGGTCAATGAGAGTTCATCGCCCTCGGTGAGTCTAACGCTTGAGGTGTCAGGCAGTATCTGGACGAGAGTTGGCTCATGGACGACAATGTTCGCCACAGCGCTCGCTTCGCCCACTGTGTTCTTCGCCCGACACTCGTAGTCGCCGCTATCGGCAATCTGAATGTCTTCGATCCTGAGGAAAATAAATAAAGTCTCAATTTTAAAGAGCAAGCTTGATGGTTTTACTGTACTTACACCATGTATCCGGGTCCCTCGATCTTGTGACGCGGCGATAGCGGTTGGCCGTCCACTCGAACCCACTCGACGGTCGGAGTGGGTATACCCTCTACGCTGCAGTAGAGGGACGTCGGTGAGCCAATCGTTAATGGTTCCTGGGGCGCCGACTCAATCTTAAGGCTCGGTCGCTCCCGAGCTGCAAACAAGCAAACGACAGTGGTGGCACCAATTAGTATTAGGATCAGACTGTGCGGACCTGTCTTATTACCAACTCCACTTTTGTGCACTTGCATGGCGAAGTATTGGGTTTAAATTGAAATCAGGGGTTAAGGGGTTAAGGGGTTTGGATTTAAACACAAAAATATTTGGGGCAGGGGCAAGAAATCGTGTGTTTGTGAAGGAAGAGAGAACAATATGAAATACAGCAAAGGCATCGTTAGTTTGGGACCTCTTTTGGGGGGACAAGTTGGTTAAAAAGAAGAAGTTGCGGTTAAAGGAGATTCCAAAGTAGATCTAAGTTTTAGATTTAAACTACAACTTTGGTTGTAAGTCTAAAAGACTTTACTAAGTCTAAGTTACTAACATCTTTAACCGCAACTTGTAAAGTACAAAGATAGTTTCACGGGGATAAAGGCTATTCAAATATTGGATCTCTGATCACTTACGTTCAACGTCGATACTTGTACTGGACAGGTCGGAGCCATGGGCATTTTCGGCGACACAGGTGTAGACGCCACGGTTCTCAAGGCGGGCTTCGTAGATGGTCAGCACATTGCCACTGATGTGGGCATTGTCGGCCAGATTGTCGTGCACCTTGGCCCACTTGATCGAGGGATATGGCGTTCCGCTGGCCTCGCAGGTAATGCTATAATCCTGGCCTTGCACGATCAGGATATTCTGCTCCAAGCTTGTGATCTTTGGTTTGTCGCTGCGGAATACAAAACGATATCATGATCTCATAAAGCTCTAGACTTCTAATCATGAACTTCCAACTTACCCAAGGATTGGTGGCTCCCCGCGTCGCTCGATATAAACTTGGGCGTTCTCGGTGAAGTTGCGACGTGTGCGAAGGTCAAAGGCCACACAAGTGTAGACGCCAGAGTCCCGTTCGGTGGCCTCGCGAACTTCTAGGACATTGCCACGGATCTGGACATTTCGGTAGGCCGAAGAGGACAGGGGGCGACCGTCGTGAGACCAATCGTAGCGGAGAGAGGCTCCACTAGTGAACTGACAGACCAACTGGAAGGATTCACCGGCCACGCCATTGACTTCCTCCGGGGTGATGTACAAGCGATCCTGCGGCGGTGGTGGCTGGGGAGAATTACTATGGACATAGACGACCACGTACTTCTCATCCCTGCTCAGGGCATTCTCCGCCTGGCAACGATAGCGACCTTCGTCCGATTTCCTGGGCGAGTCGAAGAACAGACGGTTGTCGTATGTCTGTGTACTTTGGGCATCGGCAAGTCCATCCACTCGAGCCCAGGTTACAACGGGTGCTGGGTTGCCGCGCACCTGGCAGATGATCTCGTTGCTAACATACTCATCGAAAGTGACGTGGCTTGGCAAGTCGATAATTTGGGCCGGCGAGCGCTGGTTAATCTCTAAAGGGTAAATTTGGGTTAAAGAAGGAGATAAAGTACATCAAAATGGGTTTAAGATTTATACAGAGCTGAACAGAAGTCTCTAGGGACTGGAAGACGTCAGCAGTTAACTTTTTAAAACTCTAGAGAATTCTGTAACAGCCGTAGACGTTCTTGAAAGCTCAAAAAACTATTTTTTCGGAATCAGGCAGTTAAATATTGTAAATACCATAGCGCGCCAGCATTTCCTGGGCATATCCTTTGACAAATGCCGCATTTCGTATTAGATTATAAGTTAAGATACATTTCTAAGGACAGATAACCAGCACTCACGGGAAATGGTGATGGACACGGTGTCCTTGAAGACGTGTGTGGTTTCGTTGTTGACGGCTTGGCAGATGTAGACTCCAGAATCGCTGATCTGCAGGTTGAACAGATGCAGGTCACCTCCCTCGACATCGACGTCAGCGGGCAGTTGACTGTTTTCCTTGTACCAGTTCACAATGACTGGGCTCTGGGTGATTAGAAAATAAAGATAATAAGATAAAGATTTAAAAAATCAACTACACAGCCCTGTAAACTCACATTGCTCCAGCGCATTCGACCGGTACAGCTGAGGGTCAGTGATCCGCCGACTGGCACAATGGTGATCTCTGGTTTCTCAATCGACACGATGATCTGGGTGCGCACGGGATCGTCAATGCCGGTATCTGGTCCCAGAGTGGGGTCGTTTGTTTCTGGAGTAGCGGGAAATAACGATTAGACAAAAGCTTTGGCTTTTGAGTTCCTTGCGGTGTCAGTAAAGCCCCCTCTCTAAGCGAGGCAAGTTCTCATCTGAGTTTTTGATATCTTTTGGTTTAAGCCAGATGATAAGTCTATAATCCTTATCAGAAGTATTTTAGATTTTAAAAGCAAAACCCATATGAGAACTTAGGTCGTTTTAGGAGGTCTTAAATGTGTGTTAGTGACAGGTGGTTGCGGCTTAATGACTCCTATTTGGAACACGAAGTCAGTAAGAAGTTTAGTTTTGGTTTTTGGAGTCTCCATCCCGAATCCGAGATCACTCCTGATGACCTACAGTTCCGAGGGTTAGGCGACAGATTGGTTAACAAAAACACGGAGATAGTGCGTTTCAGAACCATGTTAGATACCCAATTTTCGGTAGTAGCTCAAAGTCATCAAATTGAATCGGTAAGTTGATAGTAATCAGACATAGTTACTTGTTAGTGAAAACTACTTTTTAATTCCCTACTTTGTGTCCCAAAGTTATGAAGCGCACTATGGACTATGGATTCAGAAATCAGTTTCTAGCCTGGGGTTAATATTCGTTGGGCCAATATTCGTTGGCTTTACGATCTCTAACGTTATAGACTGGCAGCTAAGATACACATTTATATAATAATATAATATAGTACACACAGAGACAGAGAAAGACAAGATTGGTAGTCTTGGTGAGCTTGTCAAAGAGGATTCGGAGGCTCTAGCTCGGCATCTGTACACAGAGAACAAAGACTACGTTTGGGGTAAGACAAGTACTAAGACACATAGACTAGCTAAATGGTTTTGAGATCACCGAAAGATCAGACACAGAGTCGGAGAAGAAGAGGCGGAGATAATACAGGAGCTAACCCAATTACAAGAGTCTGGGAAACTTCCCAGATTCCCACTCGAACTACTTGGGGTTTAGGTCACAGATATACGAGTTAGGTTCGCTCTACACACACACACAGATCTACAGATCTTAGGATCTTTACACATATCTAAGCTGGGAAGATATATATATATATGGTATATATAGGGTGTAGAGTGGAGTTTTAGGTGTGCTGGTGTGAGAGATAGAGGTGGTACGGGAAGGGGTATTAGAAAAGCAACAGTTGTAGTGTTTGGAAGACGCCTGAGTGTGGATCATAATGGGATCAGTTCGATGGATCGGAGAGTTTTGGAGCGAACCTCGCGATGGACAGCCGTAGCGCAGCTTGGTCATATTTCCTATGAATCTGTTGTCCAAATATAACTTCACCGTGTCATTGTACGAGATTGTCTCGTTCGGTGCGATATCGAACTGAAAGCCGCTGCAACAGAAGCCCCGGCTTAAATCACATATCTGGGGCGGTTCTTCGATAATGGGCGATGTGTCTAGAATGTGGATGGATGGGATGTTTGTTGGTTTTGGTGATTGCAATTTTTAAATTCGTTTTCGTTTTTTTTTTTTTTTGGTTTCGTTTATATTGTTATCGAATTTCGATAAGTTTTTAATCAGTTAATGACGGAGATTGAAAAACAAAAAAAAAGTCCGAGAGAAAGGAAAAAGTAAATGAGATAGGCAAGACCTTAATAATCGGTAAATCCGATTCCTTGATACCCCCTACTCAGATTAAGCCAATGTAAAAGTAAACTTGATCCTTCAGAAAGACAAGCTTCTTAAAGACAATGAAAATTTTCAAGTTTCAGCTTAAAGAGCGTACTTTAAAGACCAAATTGCCATCTTACATAAAATATAACTCTTTTTTATAACAAAATAAACGGACTGGGGCTAAATCTTAGGGGGTATAAAAAGTTTATATAGATATAAATAGGATATAGAAAAGGCTTCCTTCTGCTAGTACACAAACACGAACTCGAACCTGGACATGGGAGGTCGCTTAAAGTACGAGCACATTATCTGGACAGTATGTCATGTAGTTTGGTAAGCAGGTAGATGGACGAACGACGTTTGGTGCTTCCGATTTTATAACCATTTAACTCACCAATTTCGCGACAGCGATCGCCCTTCCAGCGGGCCTTGCAACGACATTCGACGTAACCGCCGCTGCCCAAAGCGCAGGACTCAGTGTTGGCAGCATCGCACGGACACGGACTGCAGGTTCTGCTGGAGTCACGGTAGTAGAGTGGTGCGCAGGACTCACAAGAAGTTCCCGTATATCCGGATGGACACTGGCACAACTCAATGTCTGAGGCATGCGTGGCTCCCGGTGTCCTTGTGCTCACCGAACTCTCCAGGATGACATTGCCGATCGAAGTGCGTTCCGTGGGCACCTTGGGTGAGGCTCGGATCAATATGTGCTGCAGATCAGTTAGGACAGTCATGAAATCTGACCGGGTAGCCGGTAATGCTGATCCACCATCCTGACGCATCCATTGCTCATCCTCATGCAATCGCACGTTGAACTCCTCCTGGTCGTCATTTCCATCGGGTCGCGACCAGATCAGCTTGAGTCCATTGCCAATCAGTATCAAATCCTGGCCACGTTCGTAGTGGCCATAACTCTCCACGATTAGGCTGTACGCCAGGCTACCGCCGTAGGAAGCGAGCTGGTTGCCCAGCACACTGCCACGCAGACTCCAGTATTTGGGCAGGTAGGTTAGGTGCGAGTAGGTATACATATTGTTGGATATGTCGGGCGTTAAGTTCTCCGTATCCACGACCTCTCCATTGTCATCGGTAATCAAGGGTGCGCTGAGGATGAAGTCCACTGGTATCAGCTGGCGGTACAGAGGCGCCGAACGGCACTGACTGGTCAATCCGGAGCAGTAGCACTCCTTGCAGCCATCTGGATTTTTGGCAGAAAGACCGTAGGTTCCGGGACGGCACTGGTCGCATCGATCTCCAATCACATTCCTCTTGCACTGGCAATCGTTGCCGCGGCAAGCGTATGTACCTTCCGGCTGGCAATAGACGTTACAGTCGAATGTTTGATTTCCGGGTGCAGGAGGACGAGGCCTCGAGTAGTTGTCATCGGGCTGGCAGTCGTAAATAGTTCCACGGGTAGCATCACCAACATAACCGGGGGCGCATCGCTCACAGTTTGGTCCTTCGGTGTTGTCAGAACAGCTCTGGAATTTAAGAAGGGAGTTGGTTAGAAGGCATAGAGGTTATTGTCTTCCGATTAGGATACTCACTTCACAGTCTCCGGTATCGCTGTTGCAATATTTGGAATGTCCATTGCACTCACAAGGCCTGCAGATACCCAGATAGATTCCTCCCTCTGGGTCGCGGGTGTAGCCAGGAGCACACTGTTCGCAGGAAAGACCCAAATAGCCCTCGAGACAGCGGCATTGTTCCACTTCGACGGCACGTGCTGTGCCAAGATTTGTGGGCGAGGCAGTATCCAAAGTCACCTGACGCAACGAGGCCTCCTTGGTGCTAGTGGTGTACGTGGCCTTGATGTAGATGGCGGTAATATTGCTGAGGGCCATTAATACGTGTTCTCGATTGGCAATAACTTCGTCGCCGCGCTGCCAGGCACTCTCCTTGATCTCCACGGAATACGTGTTGGGCACACTGGGGCTGACCTGTGATTTCCTGTAATGGATGAGCCTCAGATCCTCGCCACTCTTGATCACCACATCCGGGGCACTGTTACGAGACATTATGCCACTGGGCAGGGGACTGTAGCTCAGGGTGTAGCTCAATTTGCCACCATACGAAGTCAGCTTGTTGCCCAGGAAGGGTGCTGGCAGACTCCAGTATAGCGTATTGCCAGCCTGCTCAGCCGATCCAGTAAAGCTCAACGCATTGGGTACTGCGGCCGTGGACACCGGTACGGTTTCCGGGGTAACACGCATATAGTCGGTGATCAGAGCAAATCCATGATTAACACGCGATCGTCCAAAAGTGCTCGTGACCTGGTCGCGATACCATGTACTACTACCACAGTCCGAGCCTACACCGCTACAGAAGCACTCGATGCAGCCGGTGTAGGTGAAGGAATTGAGGTGGAAACTCTTGGCGGCGCACGTGTCGCACTGTTCGCCAATCACGCTGTCCTTGCACTGGCATGTTCCATTGCTGTAGATATTGTAGGTGCCATCCACATTGCAAGAAGTATCGGGAACTCGGCGACAAACCCCTCCCGGAGCCAATGGATTGCCCTGGTAGCCAGCTGCACACTGTTCGCATCTCCTGCCCGTGTAACCCTCATTGCATCGGCATACCACGTCGCCATCGGGACTCTGTTGGCAGCCACTGGCAAAGTTATTGCTGCCGGTATGTGGGCAAGGACACTCCTTGCAGGGCACACCACGTCGAGGATCTCCGTAGGTGCCTGATGGACAAGGTTCCGGAACAAACGGCACACAGTGACCCAGCCAAGGACCGCCAGGCTGCCTCACATAGCCAGAGGCGCAGGACTCACACGAATCACCAACATAACCAGATGGACACGAGCACTTCTCCACAAGAGAGGCACTGCCCAATCCGTGATCAGAACTTCCCGCCGAGTCCAAGGCAATATTTATGAGGTCCACTTCGCGAGCGGTGCTATCGAGGTAGCCAAGACGAATCAGAATATTGTCCACATTGGCCAGTATCATCATGATCTCCTCTCGAGAGGCCTTGCGACCGTCGGGCTTCTGCCAGCCTCCTGGCAGGAAGGGAATCCTCACCTTGTTGTTTTGACCCGGTTGAGTTGGTACCCGATGAGTTAACGTGAAACGATTGCCGGTGATTATAACATCTGGTCCCTTGACGGGTCTTCCATTGCCCATGTAGCTAACCTCGTAGACCAGATTTCCGCCATATGATTTCAGCTGGTTGCCCATATATTCCACGGGCAAGGCCAAGTAGGGTGTTTCCCGGCCACCGAAGTGAACATTCGAAGCCCGGAACTGAACGCCATGGTGCAGAGTGAGCAGGTCCTGACCTGGAGCAGCCTCATTGATGACAATCTGGCGACCGGGACTCAGTTCCACACTAACAACGCGATGCGATAGGATCGGTGGCTGGATGGCGTAGATGAACAAATTGGCACTGTCGCAGGTCTTGGACACTCCGAAACAGAAGCAGTTGACGCACTCCTCCGATTTGCGGGCCAGCATGTTGAAGAATCCAGCTTCGCAGACATCTGTACGCACCGGGGTTACGGTGACAATGGTGTCGGGGGTCACAAAGTGGGTGCCACGTGTATTAATGATCTCGCACGAGTAAGCTCCACTGTCTTGTGGTCTCATATCGGGACAGCGTAAGGTTCCAGTTCCGCCATAGCTCTTCGATTCGCACTTGTCGGGAACATGACCCCAGTTCAGACGCCAAACGATCGTCGGCGTTGGTGTTCCGGTGGCCACACAGGTCAGCTCGAGCACTTCGTATTCCAACAGGGCGACCGATTGGGGTGGCGGGCGGATCGGAGTCGGGGCCACTGCGATTGCGATTGAAGAAACAGATTAGCGGTTATCAAATAGAAATGATAGGTACTACTACAAATACTTACTGCAACCAACTTCATCGGTGCCGTCGGCACAATCGGGCACATTGTCGCACTGGAAGCTCTTGGGGACGCAATGACCACTGCGACACTGGAACTCGTTGTAACGGCAGGGAGCACCACTGGGCTCTGGATCGCAAGAGGTCTCGTCGGAATTATCACCACAGTCGTTCTCGCCGTCACAGCGCCAGGTGCGATCCACGCACTTGGAATTGGCGCACATAAACTGGTTGGGCTGGCACTTGAGACCCAAACTGCAGCTCTGCTCATCGGAGGAGTCCGAGCAGTCTGGAGTTCCATCGCAGATGCCCGACTTATCAATACACTCGCCGTTCATGCAGGTGGCCTGGTATTCTGAGCAGGCTGTGTCCGGACGGGATCCCACATCGTTATCTGAGAGGAGGATAGTCAAGGAGCGGAAAGAATAATTTTAATGGTTGCTTTGAAGTTTGAAAGTCTAACCAAAAGCTTACCAATAACAAAGCCAAGCGGCAAAATGTGAATAGAAAAGTTAATAAGCAATTTGGACAATGACATATTCTGTTTAGGGAGTTACCAACACTTTGCTACCTTAGTTAACAAGTGTAGTGGTAACCCCTATTTGGTATAACCCTACCTAGTCCAAAGAACTCAAGATCGATGTGTGGCACAGTTCCATATCGAATACGATTGGAGCGCAGCTCCTCGTACTTGTGTTCTCCCCAGGCTGCTTGCACAGAGATAATACGAGTACTTTAACCCTTAGAGAACCCAAATGAAGGACCCACTTAAGCTTAGACTCATACTCACAGCGCTCGACGTTGAGGTTTACGGTGACCTGCTGGCCAGGAATGTGGCTGGCATAGCCCACAGCCTCGCAAACATAGGTGCCAGCATCTTCAACCTGTAATTTTAGTTATTTTTTAATAATAAAACTCTCTTTAGAGTTTGATTAAGAACTTACCCTAATGTTGGGGATCTCCAGGCGGCCGTTGCGATCGGTGCAGCCAGGGGGCAGAGGTCGTCCACCGGGACGGGACCACTTGACCTTGGCGCGTGTGGGACCTTCGTCTCGGCAACGGAAGATGACCTCGCGACCTGTGGTATAAAGGCTTCTTAATACAAGGGCCAAACACGGATTTCAAAGAGCAGACGAGCAGAGATTGGTGAAGGGATTTGGGGGGGTAGCTAAATGCATTTTGCTTACGAGACTCGTAACTCTATCAAAGTGGGGTTTACATATACGATATTCAGTTATCATGAATTTCGAACATAACATACAGTAATCCCCACTCGTGTCATAACTATATATAAATACAATAATAATCAATGCTATATAGAGGGGTTTCTATAGGGATTCGGTGTTTGGAAAATTTCGACTCAATGTACAACTCCACTCCTGGCCAAATTTGTTCGTGCAATATCGTAGTAGGTGCTGATGGTGCTGGGTTTTTTCCAAGTGCTCTCGCAATATTTGTCTTCTACGTATGCAAAATGTGATTGTAGTTAGGCCAACTTACCCTCCCTAATATATCCTGCGGTTTTATATTTATATTTTGGTTTATAGAGAATTGGGTTGGGTTAAGCATTAACGAGAACAAAGAACGGCAATTAGGGATGTCCAAAAATCATTTTTAAAGTATCAAATTAACGAGATCGATTGCTCCCGAAACATTTAACAAACATCTTTCATCTTTTTTGGTAATATTTTCAGATATAGGAGAACAATGGGGCTAGGCCGAATATGCCTTGCAGGATACTTACTCTCCTTGATGATCTGGCTGTCTGGATAGGTCTTGAGATTGAACTGGGGCGATCCGCGTCCAGAATTGTTGTTGTTTCCAGCTGTTTGTGGGGAATAAACAACAAACAAAATCAGAGTTAGTCTCGTACAAAGTAGCGCTGTCTACCGATTATGCTTGGGTGATCTCGGGTGATATAGGGGAATAAAGAGATAGATGTGCGATAGCCTTAGCCCTTGAACTCTGTTAGTAGCTACTTTTGGGAAATTCAGACAGTTATGTATTTTATTTCTGGTTTTGTGGCATCTCGGTGTTTCGGTGGGTTGGCGTTGGCCCACTTACGATCAATATCGTTGCTGATGTGGCCACAATCCGCCTCATCGCTACTATCATATGGACAATCCACCCGGCCATTGCACTTCAGACCCAGCGAAATACAGGGTCCGTTTTCGCACTTGAACGAGGTGGGCGGGCAGATGATTCTCAGTGGCGTTATGGCCGTTGTGCTAGTAGTTGTAGGACTTCCGGTGCTCCCTTGGCTGACCTCAACATGGTGATGACCTTGTGGCATACATAAGCGAGCGAATGATGCAGTGTTCGAGCAGCAATGATGATGGGTGATATGACGGACGGTGGCTAGCTGCTAACTCCTTTACTTACCACAATTCTGTTCATCGGAGCTATCCTGGCAATCGGTCCTTCCGTTACAGCGCACTGCGGAGCTCACGCACTGGCCACTGTTGCAGCGGAATTGGTTGGGCAGACATTCATGGCCTCCACCACAGTTGAGTTCATCGGAATGGTCACTGCACTGAGGGATTCCATCGCAGGGAGCCGATGCGGAAACGCAGTCGCCATTATTGCAACGGAACTGATTGGCGGCACAGCCTGTGGATTAAGGTCAAGAATGCGGGTCAAATACAGGCCAACAAATAACCATATTTAACTTGGCTACAACTGCTGAAAGGGTAAGGTCAATTTCGATTTGAAAATAATACAAAAGAAAAAAGTATCTAAAACAGTGCATACAATGTTCGAAGCATGCAGGTCGCCTACTTAATATATATCTAAAAATAACTCTTATAAGAATAAAAAAACGGATAAATCATTGAAATAATATCACAGTTAAACATATTTCATAAAACGGACACACTACAGCTAGGGCAATCTGTTCCAAAATCAAGGAAATCTAAACCAAATCGTTTGCTGTTTTATTAACCAATGCAGTTCTGCTCGTCGGAAAAGTCTCGGCAGTCGTAGTAGCCATCACACTGCTGGGTTGCATTTATGCAGAACTGGCGATCGAAGCAGAGGAACTCGTTATCCTTGCACAGGATGGCGGTACCTGTATACGATTCGGAGGTTGTGGTGGTATATGCAGTGGTGTTGTTGTGGTTTTTGTTGGTGGTTTTTGGTAGTGCAGACATCACAGATCAAGTGAGATAGATATATGTTTAAGGCAAATATATATATATATAGTCACACGATCAAAAGCAGAGTGGAGAAAGCGTGAGAGAAAGAGAATCGGAGTGAGAGACGGATAATAGAGAGAGAAAGATATACAGATTAGCAACTGAAAAGGCACATACGATATTCATATTTTGGATGCAGTACGATGTGGGGGATGCAATAACAGTACCCTTGTAAAATCCTTACAGATCTTTGACTTTAATTCGAATCAAATTAAGTTTTTGGAATTTAAAAAAAAAACGTTAAATGTGCGAAATAAAAATCTTTTCACATTGGTGCTGCTCAAGCGCCGTGCTTACGGATAGAAAACTTTACAAAGGTGCTTGAAAAATAAAGATAAATCGATTTCGATTGCTCCTGGAAGATGATATTAGACTGGAGACCCAAACTTAATCAAGATCTCCACATACGGAGAGACCTCCTTCTTTACGATCTCAAAATCAGAAAGGTGGGTAAATGGCTATGAAAGATGTAACTTGGGGAAGGCGATGGAGAAGGAGACTTACAGTTGGCCTCATCGGAGCCATCCTCGCAGTGCCTGTGGCGATCGCATCGCTCAGTTTCCGAGTAACACCTGCCACTGGGGCACTGGTGCTGGGGACATGGCAGTGACTTTATGGAGCATCCCAACTCATCACTGCCATCAGAGCAATCCATATGGCCATTGCATCGAACCGAACGATTATAGCAAGACTCATCGCAGTAGAACTGATCCGGGCCACAGTCGCTGGGCCTTAGTCGGGTGGTGGCTTTATGGTTAAATGGTTGGCATCGGTAACATCATGCAGAGTGGATTGTGAGTGGTTTATGGATGTGTGGATGACGCAGCAAGAACGAGAGACAAGAAAGCGGGATGTTTATGCATATATCTTAGTTTGGCTAGCTCCTAAGGCTATGACCACATACAAACCTTCTTCCTTTGCGGAGAGTCTTAAAAAACTAGAGATTAATTAACTATGCCTATGAAGCGGGGGGTCAACTTGATCTTATTCCAGATGCTAATGGCTAATTGGCATGGTATGGCAATGTGTTTGTGATTTTCAATATGTGAGATTATGGGATCTTGTTAAACTGAACGAAAAGATCAAATTAACCTCCAGTATATATCTTTCTGTTCTTTATGATGTATCCTAAGGATATAATGTTGGATTGGAGGACAATGACTCGATTACCCGTGCCGAAGCAAACGCTGAGGTCCTCATCGGATCCATCCGAGCAATCCTTAATATTATTGCACTGCAAACTGAAATCGATGCACTCGAGATTCGCACACTGCCACTCATTGAGGCGGCAGGCTCTCGGTATGGGATTCGGACTCGGTTTTTGTGTGGGATAATGGTTGTTGGTCTCTGTGGTGTTGTTGAGTGGTGTAAACGGATATATGTTGATGGTTGATGTTGTTGTTGTGGTCGTGTTTTATGTTAGCAAAAAGATGGAACGACAAAATAAGACAAACAATAAACGAATGCTGGGTTGCAGGAGGGCTTAAGGAGAGCATATGAGATCTTGAAATTGCATGAGAAAAGCTTAGAAGGAAGCGATTAAGTTGTAGGAAAATAGCAAGGTATTCGTTTCAGACATAAACAGGATCCATGATCCATGGTCTATATATTCTTATAGCTTAGACTCAAGTCATCTTAGAGAAGAGATAAAGAATCTGATCTAGTTCTGATCCATATAGAAGGTAAAGAATCTTTGAAATAATTCCATCTTCAGAAGAAGTCAAGAAGGAAGATTGGAGGAGGTTGGATTCGTTACCCGGACAATACATCTCGTCGTAGCCATCGAGGCAATCGCGTTTGCCATCACATCTTATTCTCCGACTCACGCAAGTGCCATTGCAGGCTAGCCTATTGGGTGGACAATACCTCCTTGCTTGAATTCAAAAAGATAATATCACCATGAGAACTCATATTCGAAGGACCAAGTAGATGGTACGAGAGAGTCAAAACCAATAAATAGATTTTACGATCAAATCAAGCGACCCAAGGCAAAGCAGCTAACTTAGACTAATTCTACGTTGGTGGGTGCAGGGGACTTTTTTTTGGATTCAGTGGGTCCGGTGGTGGCTCAAGTTCTTGGGCCACTTCTTCTTACCGCAGTGACGCTCGTCGCTGCTGTCGGCGCAATCGGCGATGCCGTTGCATCTCTGACTATCGGCCACACACTCGCCGGTGTTGCAACTGCAGGCGATGGACGATGAATGTCGGTTAGCGATGGTCGATGGTGGGTGATGTTCGAGTGGTATGGTGGATGATGTGGATGTGTGTTGTTGTGTCGTTTGTTGGAGTAAGAGCCATAACATGGAAGAGTAGAGAAATGATTATGATATGAAAGGAGTAGAACGGAATGGATATGGAGGGGTGGGATGGATTTTTCTATTACAAAAACAAAAAGATAAATGTGAATGGAGGGGAAGTTTGGTGGTTAGATGGATACAAGGTCTTACAGGTAGGCGTCTTCACGGCAGAAAGTACAGTTGCGTTCGTCGCTGCCATCTTGGCAAGTGGTAACTCCGTTGCATAACTGATCGCGGGGCAGGCAGTAGCCGTCGCACTCGAACTCAGACTCTAGACAATGGTCTGCGAATGATGAGGTGAATGTGAATGTGAATGTGAATGTGAAATGGGGTGGTGGTGGAATGAGGAGGTGCATGAAAGCGAGTTGGTTGGATCGTTAGAGTGGTTAGGCTTAGTGGAAGTAGCACCTGGAGCCATTCGGTTAGCCCCGTTACGGCGGGGATCTTTACCTGTGTACGACTGACACTCGAGCTCGTCGCTCAAGTCTTCACAGTCTGCATAGCCGTCGCACTTCTTCTCTAGCGGCAAGCACTGACTGTAGTCACATTCAAACTCAAGGATATCACATTCATTCAGTGGATTGTTGTCCGGGTCGTCTGTTTATCGTTCATTTTTTGTTGTTGTGGGTGGTGGTGTTTGTTATATGAAAAGTATGAAAGATAAAAGATAAATGATAGAATCAAGTTCTAGGCATGCGGATAGATCTAGTTGCGGTTTAAATTGCAGAGCATAATCTTGACTGTACTGACGAATGCCAAAGGCACTGCCCTTGACACTCTTCAAGTAACCCCTTTGACATTCTGCAATTCCCCACGCAACTGCAGAACATTATGGATGATGAGTAGATGGATGGGAGGAAGGGACTACCGTAGGTGTCTCCGTAGGTGTAGATGCAGTTATATTCGTCGGAGGCATCGGCGCAATCGTTGATGCCGTTGCAGTGTTTGTAGCCGGAGATGCAGCTTCCATCGCCACATTGATACTGACTGTCCAGGCACTGGACCCCCAAGCGAGTCTTGTTAAATCTTCCATGGAGGTCTGAAGATCGGAGTTTTCAGGGGGCGGGCGGGCGTTGTGTGTGTGTTGTGTGATAGCGGGTATAGCAGATAATTACGTTTCAGGGTGTCAAATGACGGGATAGATTTTTACACGGTATAGACGGGGACGAAGAGAGAACAAAACAGAAAGTACAGTTAGCAACAAAAGTCTATGTCTGTGAAATGAGGGCAATTCGGTGTGGAGTGGGCGCTAGCAGTTAGCAGTTAAACCAATTAGCAAAGAGCTGCTTACATATCTAAGTTAGCATCGAAACTCAAACTTAGTCTATGATTAAAATAAATGTAACGGTAATTTAACCAAAAGCTAAGGTGACTGAGAATGATCGATAATGGAGAAAAGGGATAGGAGAAAAAAAGAAGGCAGGGTTCGTAATCGATATCGAAATCGAACGAAATCCCTGTGTTATGATAGAAAGAGATAGAGATAGAGATAGCGATGATAGAGATGGTACTTACGGCAGGAGCTCTCGTCGCTGCGGTCGCGGCATTGAGGTTTGCCATCGCACACTTGGGATTTCGGAATGCAGCCTCCGCCGCGCTGGCACTTGTACTGAAGAAAGCATGAGAATTGGTGTTTTGTACAGGTGTCAAAGGTAGGTCGTCCACCTCTAGCAAGTGTGATTGTGTGTGTGTGTTTGGGGGAGCTTTTGTTTATATCTACAAAGTGCTAATTGATACGAAATACGATTCTGAAGGATCAGAATCGAGGATATGAGGATCAAAAAACTAAGATTACTTATAGGAAGTAAGCTAGCAGTCACTTTGAAGTTAATTTTGCAATTTAAAAAGGAAATAAATTGAATCTGATGGGATAATTTTGACCATATTGACGTGGAAAAGCATCAAAAAGCACCAAGTATATATATTTTGGGCGGCATGGATGAATGGCGAATGGGCTGTGGGTCTCACCTTGTCGCCGCTACACTTGCACAGAGCGTCGTCCTCGTCTTCGCCGCGTCCACAGTCGGGGATGTCATCGCAGACGCTCTCAATCGGAATGCAATCGCGATTGTGGCACGCGAATTCGATGTTTTCGAGGCACGACTGGGGCGAGTTGCCTGTGATGTGTGTATGCGCGTGTGTGTGTGTGGGGGGGGCGTTGATGATGGGTGACACAATAGGGCATATGTATAATCGCAATGATAGTAAAACAAGCCATAACGAGAACGGAAAAAGAGAAGAGAACGAGTGAGCAAAGTATATATATGTACAGGTATGGGGACTTGGGGATTATGAGGCATATCAATTAAAAGACTTTATAAATTAAATGCTTAAACTAACTAAATTGTACTTGCGTGTGTGTGTGTGTGTGTATGGTTTGCTGGGTTGGTTAAGGCTAAAGTGGGTTTCAATGTTTCAAACATGGCATGCACTTTTACTTAACTCTACGCTTCCTGAACCATCAACGCGGCTTAGATTCATAAGGTAATGCCACCAATTATCCTAAACCAATTATTAATCCCTCCATGCTCGGTAGCCCAGCAACAAAATAGCCAGGAAAACCAAAATCAACCTTGGATCCGCAGTTATTTTGTTGCCAGATAATACCCTCTATTACCAGCAAGCTGGCTTTCCGTTACCCACTTAAGTATGCTACACTTTTCAATGCTTATCAAGGACACCTACTCGCTACGCCGACTGTTGTTATTAGGTTAGTGGTCGTGGACTCGGTGCTTGTCGTTTGTATTGACCATGGCCAACGAGGAGGTGCTTCGGTGGTGGCTCTGGTGGTGCTGGTTGTGCTGCTGGCTAGGGTGCTGCTTCGCTCCAGCTGGCCCGGGCCCTGGGTCGTGAAGGTGTGCGTGGGCGTGGTGATGTAGGGACGACGGGTACTAGTGCTACGCTGATACTGCTCACAGGACTTCTCATCGCTCATATCATTGCAGTGATAGTAGCCATCGCATCGCAAATGCAACGGGATGCAGACATTTGAGGCAGTGCAGCGGAATTGATTGCTCTCGCAGGTATGACTTTGCTGATACACATGGTAATCATGGACGTCCATTTCGTGCAGCCAGTCTTCGTTCTTCGGTGCTGGCCTAGGCGGATAATGGCCAATGGGTATGCCCACGCTATCCACCTCTTCGCCTGTTTATCGTCCGATTATTAGTTTTGATGGGGGTTTACGATAGACGGGCACATGGGAAAACCGCATGCAGACCATGGATTTTTTTTAAGGTTATTAGGGGTTTTTTTTTCGATAAATCATGCATTTTAGGTTATAATATTATCGTTTCGCCAATTTCGTAGATCGTCGTTGTTGTTGTTTTGGTTTCCAAAGGAGGTTTTCGTGCGATTAATCGATTAATTTTGGGCATTCGATAACCAAAACCAAGGGTTCAATACACATTTTTTATCGGGTTGATGGGGAAAAAGAAAAATAAAATGATTGGAGTTAAAATCAAGGTCAAACTAAAAACGATTGACACACACACTTCGATAGCTGGGTATCTCGCCCCACTGGCGATTAAAGCGATACAAGCGGAAGTAGCACACACACAGAAAAAGAGGCTGACAAAAGAGGGAGTAAGACGACAGAGATAGACAGATAGATAGGGAGGAGACCAACACCAAATAATCGATTTTAGTTACCCACGAAGAGACGACAAAGCAAAGCGGAGAAAAAGGAGAAGACACTTATTATCGATAACACGAATTGCTTACCGCAGCTAATCTCATCGGTATAATCGTTGCAATCGTAGATATTATCGCACACCTGACGGATCGGTATGCACTCACCGGTTCCGCATCGGAACTCATCGAACCGACACTCCCCATCCTCATAGCCACCTGGCGACGCCGATCGATATGGGCTTGTTAGTTTTGTTTTTTTTTTTGGGCGATTGGTGAGGTGAGGTGACAATGTGCTGGTGATTTTTGTGTGATTGGGTGGTGTGGGTGATAGGGTATAGGTATGAACTTACCACTGCTGCCTCGGAACGGTAATCTTAAGAACCATGAGCAACGCTTCGCTTTACTCACCCTCGCAGTAGCGCTCATCGGAAATGTCCTCGGGACAGTCGATGTTGCCGTTGCAGAGTAGCTCCTTGGCTATGCAGGTGCCATCGTCACACTGCCATTTGTCGTAAAGACAGGCTGCATTCCCATTCGAGAAGCAGGAAAATATGGATGATAGGACATAGCAAATATGGATCATTATGTTGGTTAATTAACCCATTGCCAAACACCTACGACAGCCCTCCTCGTCCGATCTATCGTTCGGACAATCGGCCCGACCATCGCAGCGATGGACAATCGATATGCAGCTCAAGTCCCGGCAGGTGAACTTGCCCTTGGGGCAAGTGTATCGCAGCTTGGGCACAACTGTACCATGGCAGCATTAAAATGAAGATTCAAACGAAGATACAAATTGATGTAGTAATGGCGCGATGATAAGATCTTGTAAGCAGTTGCCAGAATATCCTTTTACTATCCATAATCTGGCAACGCTACAGATGTGATGTGAATGAGTTGATGGTTAGATGGACTGTTACTCACTTCCGTCGCAATGCTCCTCGTCATCGCCGTCGCTGCAATCGGAGTGACCGTCGCACTGCTGACTAACACTAATGCAGCGTGTGCCGTCGCGACATTGATACTCCATTCCGCTGCAGGCGGCGGCTGTTAGTAGTATGGGTTGTTGGTTAGTGGTAGCGGTTAGCATGTTTCGGGGGTTAAACGAGAGAAAAATATAGGGTTAGTAGTGCTTATGTAATGGCTGCTTATCTACTATCTACTATCAATAGTAGTAATAGTTATCAAGGTGAGCGATGTCCGGTTAGTGTTACTTAAGATACGATATTTAGATACGATATAAGCTTAGAAAGCACAGCTGGCGTAACCGAAGAACTTCGGAGAACCAGTTTACACTACAACTTAAAGACTAGACTCGCTTAGTTTAACCATAAAGTAAAAGGTGTCTTGTGGGTGGGGTAAACACCCACTTTTAAGTTCTTGATGATTAGCACTGTGTTCTCTCTACTGGCTAGATCTGTTCTAGACCTTATCTATGGGGTCGCCTGTATTACTTACGGCAATCCTCGTTCTCGTCCTCGCCCTCGCTGCAGTCCGAAACATGATTGCATCGCAGGCTGGCATCAATGCACTTTCCATCGTTGCATCTGAACTCGTTGCCCATACACTCTGCAAATAAACATAAAAAGTCGAGAATTTTATATTTAGAATGTTGGATGGATTTGACAGCCTGCAATTAGATGACAACCGGATGCAGTTTAACAAGGACTTCCGCTGGCCCATGAAGGCACTTCGCTCGCCCACTTCGACACCCCCTCGTCAACTTGAAAGCAAAAGTTTGTTAGGTGTTTGTTGTGTGACAGGACAGCAGTCAGCAGTCAGCAGTCCCCCCACCCCTCGTTAGCCACAGTTTCCTGTGCATGTTTGTTGGCCTTTTGAACCCTTTTTTCCGGCATAGCCCGTCCCTAACTCCGCTTAATATTTCATACAGGAGAGCAGCAGCAAAAGCTAAAGCAGCAGCAGCAGCAGCAGCAGCGCAAGACTCTTAAGTAATTTCACAAATATTTTTGGATAATTTTTTTCGCATAGCCCCATTCAAAGTGACACAGCGCGGATTTGATTACAAGCAGCCGGGAAACAGCCGCGCACAGGGATATAGATAACAAAGAGAGCTGGTGGGAGGGGGGGTGGTGTGGAAAACAGAAGAGCCGCGAGCTGAGGCTAATTAAAAGTAAAGAAAAGTTAAGCGAGCATTAGAGGCAGGAGTGCGGGTGGAGTGTTGTAATCAGAGCAGCTTAAAGTCAAAGCCAATTCGAGGGCAAACAATTAGCAAAGATTCCACTTGATTTTTTACAATGTTTGGGTTAAGGTTTAACCTACGGCAGGATCTGATCTTTAACTCTGTGAAGATTTATTGTTAAATAAAAGTCTATAAAAACAATTAGAAGTTCACTTTTGAGGAACTGAGGCCATTGGCCGCAGTAAGTCAACAATTTGTCATCGCGAATGTGGCAGTTAATGTGGAACTGCAGTGGCGAAAACTTAAGCAACTTTCGGGCTGAACACAAATCGCCAAAGTTTTACTTTTTGGGCAATTTTCAACACGAAGGCGATGAAAATTCCGGCCAACAATTTGACAATTTCATTGCAGACAGGCAGGCAGTCAGGCAGTCAAAAAGGTAAAAAGACCAAAAAGAAGGAGTGCAAAGGCGCCCCAAGTCAGTCGGCAAATATGATTTTTATTTCTTAGCCTCTGTGTTTGTTTTCATTTTCCAACTGCCGCGCTGCTTATTGACATTAAAGATTCAAATAGTGGGCCAGAAGGCAGGGGCCAGAAGGAGCGCATAAAGGATTTCGGCTGCCAAAGGTTGTTGGGCTCCAATTATTTGGCCAGACGTGTGATCCTAATCCTTTTGACGGCCCCGCAGAAGCACACAAACAACAAATTATAATCCGCAAGTCGGAAAACAAGTTTTTTCCCTCCTCCTCCTCCTCTGGTGTTTCTTGATAAAGGTTGCAAGAAATTGGCAAAGGCTGGGGGAAGGGGTTTCGGTTTGGTCCAGCTGGGGATTTTCACCTTTCACTTTTCCTATTATTTGTCTTTCTTCTTCTATCATTGTTTTTTGTGTTGCAGTCTGGACGTTTATGATTATTTGAATAATTTCAAATTTAATCATTTGAATTTTATTCTTTTTTTTCTGAGAAAGTATTCAACTTACATGCTGTACTTTTGCCAACATTCTTAAATATTGGTTATATCAATTACCGGTTTTTACTATTCCCAATGCCCATAAATTTAACCCCTAATGACTGGTACTTTCCTCCGCATTCCCAGATTGCACTATTTCGCAGCTCCTTTGGCTTCATCTTCACCTCCACCTCCATTGTTGCATTGTGTCTTCTTCGCTGAGTGTCAAATGGAAATCCTCCCCCCCTTAGCCAAGCTTTATATTCTTGACTTTTTTTCCTCCTTGAAATGGGATCAGTTTGGATGGCAGACGTTTTTTCCGCTTTTTACCCCCCGCTGACTTGCACTTGAACTTAAAGCGCCGCCGGAAAGTATGCAACATTCATACACTTTCGGCAATACGAATAGTTTCTTTCTTTTTTAGTCCAAACAAAGTTGCAAAATCATTAAATATATTAATTAATAATAATAAATACAAGTTTAATCATTAGAAATTCCAATAAAGAGCTATCTATATTCAAAGTAAAAAGCTTATATTATTTTAACCGCAGTTGTAGATTTCTCAGAGCAAAAAAGGAAAAAAAGGTGGTGAATGCGGTACGGAAAAGCTGGGAAGACGAGTCGTCCAAAAGGAGGGCTAAATTCGAGTCGATAATTGATACGCGCGGGCGCATGGAAAACGCAAAAGAGCGCCAACAGGCCAAAAGCCGCAAACAAACAAGTTAAGAGGTGTGTGGTGTCTGTGTGTGTGCGGTGGTGTGGTTTGGAGAAGGGGGCAAGAAAAGTCCCTCATGCAACGGGTTTGGGTTAGGGGGTTAAGCTGACTGAAAATTGTTTACTTCGCTATGCCACGAAAATTGTATAAAAATTCAGATGAGAGACTTGAGGGCAAGGGAGAGGAGAGCAAAAGCTGTTTAACAGCAATTTGTAAAAAGTATTTTTGATTTGATTATTGCTCGTTAGCGCTTAGCGTTCCATCGAATCATTAACTCGCTTTTATCAACAGCCAAGCCAAAGTGCTTTCAAAGGGGGTCGCAAAAAGCGCCAAAACCCAGCATTTTAGTCTAGTTTAAACCGTAGAATAAAGTACCAAAGAAGCCAAGTAAATATCTAACAAAATTTTGGTCGAAATCGTCGCCGTCTGGCATGCAAAAGTGTTATTACCTTAACCTTGCAACTCTTTCCCAAACCTCCCCCCCCCCTCTCAAAAAAACCTCTTAATTACGACCCCAAAAAAACTATCAGCGATAAACGTTAATTTCGGTTTTATGCCTATGACTAATCGATTTCCGTTTTCGTTTTTCAGGTAGGCTAGCCAAAGGGGGGAAAGGGGTTAAACAGGAAGAGCCATGTCCTGATGCAAATCTCGCATACGTGGCGTATGCGTGATGTCTCACATTATTAATTGGCCAACATTAATAAAGGGTAAGGGCTATGGCGGAGAGCATGGGAAATGGGAAATGGCCCAGACAACCTTGTCGGTCCGTTTAATTATGGTTTCCCTGTTTGGAATTTCAACTATCTTGATTAGTTCTTCCCATAAAGGAAACACGAAAAGTGCAAAATACAGGCAGCTGGAAAAACAACATGTCCAGTTCTCTTTTTAAGCTTTGTCCATAACTAAGCCAATATTTGGTCCAAATATATAATGTCATTATCGTTGAGTTTGTTTTTAAGTTCCTAGTCGAACTGCATTTGTATTTGCGGTTAAAAATGTCAAAAGATTGTCAATTTTTGAAAATTTTCATGAAATTTGATGAATTTCCGTAGAAAATAGGTTTCTTGATTATTAAGCCATTAAATCAGTGTTCAAATCAGAACAATAATGATAAAAGTAAGTATAGGGGTTTAAAGTTTTGGTTGTTAGTTGCATAAAACAGTCATCGCTGTGGCCATGCGTCTTGTTTTAAAAAAGTTAGAGCTAAGAAACGGCAACCAAAGGCGGATCTATGCTGCCAAAACATGTATTCATGATTTTAAGCACCAAAAAATCAGTTTTTTTGCTATAGCACAGCCAAAAATCGTCCAAATGAAGAATGTAATACCTCGTAGGGCTCGTAATTTGATTGCTGTGATTCTCAATTGATTTGCATTAAAATCTGGAAAACTTCATTTTTGGCCCATTTTTGAAAATTTTGATGATGGTACTTATCGAAAATGCGAAATTTGGACCAAAATTGATTTTCCCAAAATCGAAAAACGAGTGATAGGGGTTGTTAGTATTGGTCGTTAGCAGCACAAAACAGTCGTTCTTTTGGCTGTGCGCCTTGTTTTGGCCGAGCTAGAGCTAAAATACCGAAAATAATATTGCAAATTTCTGTCAAGAATAGGGTTTTTGACATTTTAGCCATTAAATCAGCACTCGCACCAAAAGAATCAGAACCATAATGGTAAAAGCAGGTATAGGGATTTAAAGTGTTGGTTGTTAGCTTCATAAAACTGTCACTGGTTTAGCTGTGCTGTTTTGACAAAGTTAGAGCTAAGAAACATCAACAAAACCGGGATCTCTTCTGTCAGAAATAGGTTTTTTGACATTTTAGCCATTAAATCATCACTCGCCCCAACGAAATCAGAACAATACTGCTAGAAGTAAGTATAGGGGTTTACAGTATTGGTTGTTAGCTGCATAAAACAGTCACCGTTTTAGCCGTGCGCCTTGTGTTGACAAAGTGAGAGCTAAGAAACGGCAACAAATCCGAAATCCATACTGTCAAAAGGCGTATTCAAGATTTTGGCCACAAAAAAAACTTTTTTTTTGCTATAGCACAGCCAAAAATGGTCCAAATGGGGAATGTAATACCTCGTAGGGCTCGTAATTTGATTGCTATGATTCCCAATTGATTTGCATTCAAATCTGGGAAACTTAATTTTTGGCCCATTTTTGAAAATTTTTATGATGGTACCCCTTATCAAAAATGCGAAATTTGGGCCAAAATTGATTTTCCCAAATTCGAAAATCGAGTGATAGGGGTTGTTAGTATTGGTCGTTAGCAACACAAAACAGTTGTTCTTTCAGCTGTGCGTCTTGTTTTGGCCGAGATAGAGCTAAAGAGCCTAACATAGTATTGCACATTTCTGGTAAAAATCGGTTTCTTGACTTTTTAGCCCTTAAAACAGAGCTCGCACCAAAAAATCTGAACTATATTTATAAAAGCAAGTATAGGGGTTTAAAGTTTTGGTTGTTAGCTGCATAAAACAGTCATTCTTTTAGCGGTGCGTCTTGTTTTGACAAAGCTAGAGCTAAGAAACGACAAGAACACCGGAATCTCTGCTGCCAAAAGACCTTTACGTGATTTTAAGCAACAAAAAATGCATTTCTTTGGCCATAGCAAAGCCAAAAATGGTTCAAATGAGGAATGTAATACCTCGTAGGGTTCATGATGATTCATTCGTTCATAGCAGCACAGTTGGACTTTTGAGTGTGCGCCTTATTTTGACAAAGTTTGAGAAAAACCGCTAAAAAATAAGAACTCTTTCCGTA